CGGGCAAGGCTGTCAGTTGGCTGACAGTCGTGTAATATTTTATTGGCAAGCCAAATTAAGGTCAATTGACAGCTGTCAAAATGGGACATGTGCAGACCACTATCAGAAAACTAATAACGTGAGCTCAGGTTCGCTCAAGTACACGATCTGGCATTTTCCAATACATGCCGAACGGATATGTCTTACTCACTCTCGTAGTCTGTTAATTCGAATATTCGCCATTCTAATGAAGGTTAATTGACAGCCATCAAACTAGAGTATACGCTGACCATCATTACCTGAGTGTATCGCGGGCTCATTTTTCTATCCATTGAGGTCACGTAGTGTTTAAAGTTTTGCGGTGATATTTTATTTGATCACGGGCTCAATTCGAAGCCCCATAGCTTAGAAAATCTATCCCTCCTAGAAAATTCGGCAATCACGTGACCGTACACCGATCACCCGACCTTTTGTCCGTCCGCGCTACAGGCATACCAATGTTTAATCTCACACTTTCTAGCTAGTTTGGGAGCCTGCAACCTGATATTGTACATCCATGTTTTGATTAATTGACAGCTGTCAAAATAGTGTTTCTACTGACCAGTATCGCCTGACCGTATCGCGGGCTCAGGTATCGACCCACTGAGTTCGAGTGTTTTATTGAAGGCATCCGCTGACAAGTTACTACATTTCAAATGATCGCAGGCTAAAGTTCAAATTTTTAAAAATGCATATGAAATAAGTCGTGTTCATGAGCCGCATTTTTAAAATGTTGATTTCGAGCTGACCTCGGACGCGAAAATTCAACCGGCTTTTACATTTACATGCAGGGAAAGCAATCGCTTTTGACTTTTCTCACTGTCACGCGTTGATCACGCTCTACGTCCAATTTTTATGTTCTGATTGGTCAAAATTTGACAGGTGAGTTCATGCGGAAAATTTATGCAGCGTCTCGTAACTTGCTTACTGATAGCTGGAGCTAACAGAGTTTTGTGTCATCTTGTGATGTTTTAAACTGTCTTTTCTACTTGGTGTACAAAATGAAATACAGCTGGTATCAAGATTGTTCTGTAATTCATGGCTGGTTTGTTTATTGCGCTTTTTGTTGACAAATGTACCGCTTGTCAAAGTCATTGGAAATCCGATTTCGGATGGCATCGTTTTCAAAAATGAGCTTACTCACTTGCCTTTGCTTGAGGCATAAGAGGGTTGAAAAGTCTCAAGCGATTCTGGAACACTTGATGACCTTCAGAAGCAGCATCTCGACTGGTAAGCTTGAGCAATTATTGTCTTTGATGTGTTAATTTTTTCAAGTGTATGTTTTATGCAGCTTAGGTTTATACACGAACAATGATCTAACCTACAATAGTATCAGGTTTGAAAAGCCTTTAGACATTTTTTGACCGCAAATTCAAAGAAAAGGTTCCGAAGATTATTTAGGTATGATTTTGGCTGTAAACAGAAAGCTCTGAGCGGTTTTCTTGCCTCGAGTTCATCTTGAAAAAGAGCAAACACCGGGAAGCCCGCTTCAAACATAAATAAGCTTATGCTTACCTGACTCACGATTTTCAGAGACACTTTACTCTTAATACTTCTCTTCGTGAATGAGAATTATTGTCTCTGTACATGTTTCACCGAATTATATTTATTTTATTGATTGTTTGTAGTCCCTCTCGCAATTTTTATCGCTGCACTGGTTGTTTCCAGTCAAACATTTACATCGCATGCAGGAATACTCAAAACGCCGTGCGTAAATATCACTCGCTTTTAAAGATTACACATAACAAAACCATACACAGTTTAATAAATAAAGGGAAATAAAACCTAAACATAACAATTTCTCTATCATGTTGAAGCGTAAATGGTAACTCTATTAATCGCACTGCAAATTTGGTGCCTGTCAAAAGGAAGCACGTGCTTTGATCGTCGTGGATATTGAATGAGTGCAAATTCTCTCGCAAAATTGTGAAAAACTGCAGAATTATAGGTTTAAATAGGGAAAAAAAGAACAAATTATAGGTTTTAATAATTCGATGTAAAATTTGTTTCACTCAAGGACTGTCAAATTATTTTTCTCTAAAATTACTTAGCCTTTGCCGCAAAAGTCAAATGAATGTGCCCTGATCTGTGGATTACAAGTTTATAGTTTGATTTAAATTATGAATTTATTAACGAGAGCTTCGCTTTTAGCCCTGGCTAAATCTATATATTAAAGTTTATTTTCACTGGTTTAAAGCATCCTAGACCATTGAACGTCGTGAAAGTGAATTGATTTCGACTAATTGAGTTCGACTGAATCAACCTCGAACTTATATAACTTGGGTCCACCTAAATAGGTATTAAGTTCGGTACATGAAAAGATGGACGTTTGAACTGGGCCTTACCTTTCTTTTCGGCAATTTTCCTCTGCCATAGCGGACGACACTAGGTAGAAAACAAGCAGTCGCCATACGGCCGCGAGCTAAGTTATGAATGAACTCAGACATTTTCACTTTTTTTGTTTTGTTTTGTTTTGTTTTTCATTTCACCGATAGGTAAATCAATGTAAACACAACCCAACGCATATTTAACCCATTGGTTACTCAGTTTTAGAAGAAAAGTGGCAATAAGTATGCATGAACTCTTATCGGTTTCACCGTTGTCTTCACAGATATCATATGGATATTCTTTGGAACTGCACAATAATAATGATATAATAATAATAATAATAATAATAATAATAATAATAATAATAATAATAATGATGATGATAATAATATCAATAAAAGTAATGAGAATGATATTGATATGGGTAATGATAATGATACTAACAATGATAGTGAAAGAGATAGTGATAATGGTGATTGTAATAAACAATGTTACTTTTGAACAGAAAATTGTCTGTATAGTGCCTTAATAGTTTGAAATGTCAGCCATTTCCACCCCCTAACCCGTGAGCCCCCCCCCCCCCAATAGGTAGAGAGTGGAGACGGCTGACATCTCGGCTATTACTGCCAAAAAAGTTCTAAGATTCTCAGTTTACAAGAGCAAAACATGAATTTGTAGAAACACTATTCGTTCCACTGAGTACTTTGCTGAGTTGTGCTGAATAGGGCATTTGCACTAGGGGTCATGTGACATCGTTTTTATGAAAATGAAAGTTACATGATTTTTCCTTCGAAAAACGATTAGTGGGTCATATCTTAAACAAAATAATAGTGATTTGGTTTTTCCAACCTGCACCATTTTATTAAAATGAGTACGTTCGTAGCTGGTCACGTGACCAAAATGTGATTTTTATGAATTACCTCTTTCTGAACACAAATTTTGCACTTAAACTTCAAGGAAAATGTTGAAAAGATGATGTGGTAACATTTGCAGCACATCTGAGCGTAACTATCAAACGTTTAACAAGATATGAGCAAAAAGTACATGTAGTTTTGGTCGCCATGTTGAGGGCAAGAGTATGCCCTCCAACATGGCAGCCAATACAAATTATACTACTTTGTTAAAAAATCAAAATGCCATAAAATATCTCCCTTAAATGCGTTTCCTTTCAAATTTCGTGTGTAAGATAATTCTTATGTGCTCTCTTAATTTTTGGCATCAGTTGAATTCCAACTCACGGTCATGTGACCTCTTAGTGCAAGTGGCCTATTTTTGGCATTGCCCTTTCTTACACCCGCGCATCTTGTCAGAACCCCTTCTTAAAACTTTTATAACTCTTTTAAGTTAAGAGGATGTAAATCTCTATTATATAATCTATTTTGTTTTCCTAAAGTAATATTCACATTTCATGATCATCATTGAAGGTCTTTCTTGAAATCGTCCTCTCTAGGTTGCTCCAGGACAATAAATAGTACGTATGGCAATATTGAGGTTAATAGTACAAGCAGCTACGATGAAACATGTCAGTGGACCATACTAAGTACCAGTATATCCCAGGCTGTAGCTTTGGTATCTGTACGAGAATTATATCTCCGCTATTGCAGGTAAACTGAGAAATGTAACAAATTCTTAAGAAATGAAATGAATGGAAAGAAGTGGCAGTTCTTTGTTCTCTTTGTGAATTTAAAAAAAAAAAACATGAGATAACCTTACTGGTAAAGAAAATTAATATTAATAGAAGTATAAATTCAAGACATTTTTGTGCTACCAGTACTGTAAATCAAAATGCTAATTCAAGCACTTGATGGATTAACCTTCAGTTAGGAATATGTGTTATTCCCAGCAACGTTGTCTTTGACTAACCCTACTGTGATCACTGATGATGATGAATGTTATTATTATCACTACTATTATTTTTATTATTATAATCACAACTAAACCAAAATTCTCAAATCTGATTGACTATAACTATCTATCCCTGATTTCAGCCCTAATAGGACAGTGTAATAGGAAAGTACGCGTTATCACGCGCGCGCTTCAAAGGCTTTTTTTTACACTGCTGGAAACTAAAATGTCGGAAATTCTTGTGGTTTGATTAAAAAAAAGCCTAATATTATGAAAAATTTTGTATTCCCTTGTAATGACTGGGCATCACTAGCTAGGTGTCCAAGACATATACAATCTGTGTTTAACTTGATGGTGAACATCCTTATGGAAATCCATCTTATGGTCAATTGAGAGCTGACAAAAAGGGTATCCGCTGATAAATGCCATCTGACTGTTTTGCAGGCAACAATTCGAGTGTACAACTCATTGACGTGACGTGTTCTTTAAAATTATCCGCTGATCAGTTGTTATTTTTAATTGATCACTGACTCAGTCCGTAAGGAAAAGCTATATGACAAATATCTTAATACATCAAGACCTCGGTCTGATATTTCCCTGTGACGACCTTTTTCTCGGTTAATAAGTAGTATCTATTTTTGTTACACAGCGAGTATGTGAAGATTATTGATGGAGAAGGTACCGAGGTTCTCAATCAAGACGGTTGTAGGCCTTTAAATACAGAAACTTGGTTGGATGTACAGTTTGGCTCGTACGGTAACATCTCAATTCAAATGGCTTTTGGAAGTACTCTGGGAAGTACTCGAAGCAGCGTGAAAATCCAGTTTGCTGTTTTGAAGAACGGCATATCTTCAGGTACGTTTTAGTCGATGCTTATTTTACTGTTTCTGTTTTAGTCCTAGTGTCAATCCGTTCCCCGCCACCTAGGTAGAATAGACCTTATTCAAGATACCAGCCATCTTTGCACGCGCTTTAGGATAGATGGGATATAGGGAATGTCACGTGGGGGCAAACAAGTGATAAAATTTACCAAAACGAGTTATCATGGTTGAGTTTCCTTATTCTGTCAAAACGGGACAACGGTTTTTTGATCTACAAGTTTTACACGGTATGTCATTATGGCTTGCTGTAAGGACATCTACGGCCGCTACTGCATTTATCGTCTTAAGCATAAAAAGTACTTTGTTTTCGGTTATCTAGAATAAACGAACTCTACGGCGATAATTCTCACACCTGCTGGGGCACATTCTCTCCCTGAGAAACTTTTTGACATTGCTCTATCCCATCAATCCTAAGCACGTGCAAAGATGGCGGCTATCGTGAATAAGGTCTCTTGATACGTTTTTTCTGGGTAGGTACTATATCATCATCACCATCATCATTATCATCATCATCATCATCGTTATTATTATTATTATTATTATTATTATTATTATTATTATTATTGTTGTTGTTATTACTTTTCTTTTTTTAGCTTTACCGCTTTCAGGATGGAATGTGACTGTTTTGATGTCCAGTCATTTTGGTCTTAGCGTTCAGTGGTCTGCACTTCGCACGAACATTGACCGGACTGCCAGGTTTTATTTGATTCTTATTAAAAGTCCTGCGGGAAATTTACTAGCTGAAGAAACTGTCCCAGGAAGTACGACAACTAAAGTTATTACAGGCTTAAGACCTTCTACAAGGTACCGAATCGGAGTGTATGGAATTGACGAGACTGGACAAGCCTACAAAACCAGTGAAAGTCTGGCTTCAACCAATGATGGTAAACTAACACATTTTGGAAAATAACTGAGATTGTAAGCACGATCTCATTGGTCAAAACCTATGGTTTATCATACCGGTAAACCCATAGAAAAAGGCATCCAGACCACGAGCCATACACAAAACCGGCTATTGATCGGCAAACAACGATTTTCGAAAGACTCAAAAACAGAACGATTTACTTACACAGCCCTTCTTAATATTAAAAATCGTTGGTTTCTAAGTTTTATTACTGAGCGTCACAATTCGCTACTGCCATGCCATACCTTTAAAAGTTATAAAGTACAAAGCTGGAAAGCAGTTTACATTTCACGACGACGCCGAATCGCAGAGAAAGACAACAACTGTGTGAATTTTTGGTTTAGAAAGTCTCTAGGAAAACTTAACCAATGCCAACCAGCAAAAAATCGGACAGATTTAGCATTTTTGAAATATTTATGCCAAAGTTAAATTCCTGAGTTAAAATTCCCGCAGGTTGTAAACAAGCTGTAAACGATGATGACAGATGTCAGAGTTTCGCGCTGTTTTTTTTTTTTTTTTTTTTTGCACGAATCGTTCGATAATATCGATGCCATAACCTTCTTCAAACCACCTGACTTCACAAATCGACAAATATTAACGCCAATATGTGGCTACGGCAAAGAAACCTTTCTCTAAATTTAGAGCTACCACTGAGATATTTCCATCGGTCGCTGTACAGTGTACGTAAGTTACATGCCACAACTTCCCAAATGCAGCCACGTCCTTACCGCAGCATTTCTTGACCATGAAAAGACCAAAAAACAGATCTTAAACCACTGCAGCTTGTAAAAAGGTGAATGGAGTCCTCCATTACAATAGCTGCCAGTTCCGTCTGTAAGCACGAAATTGCGGATCGACTCAACAAAATACAGCTGCGTACTGTTTGATGCTCAATTTTCTACATGTATATAGTAAACAAACCATGAACGTATTCTTTCATTGTACGTTCGCATGAATATGTATATACTTTTCCTGTAAAACAGCTTTCATAAGTTATCATGTAATGAGTGCAAAAACTCGTATTTTGAAGTGCTGCTGTTTTTTGTTTGACTGAACTGAATTTTGAGAAAGTTCGGCGCTACTAAATCGTGAGTCAAGATTGGCTTGTGAAAACCACATTTTTTACCTAAAACACTCCGTTCTACCAAAAGTGATTTTATAAAAGCAATAGACCACACTTTATATGGGTTTACCGGCGTAATAGCCCACTTGGGATGTTGGTAGAACACTCGAAAAGCTTGTAAATTACTCGCCTTCGGCTCGTGATTTACAAGCTTTTCTCGTTTTGCTTAATTGCACTGCATTATATTTCTTACTACATTCAATACAAACGAAGAAATTTTAACTTAAGGACAGGCTTAGGTTCTCTAGTAACAATAATGATAATGTAGTGATCCCCAGGGTATATTTTTACGGGTAGCGTTTTAAATGAAGTACAATTTGAATCCGCTCTTCGAAGCTGGTCATTCACGTGGTACAAAATCGCCCTGCTGGAGACCAAGACAAACAAGACAAACAGAGAGGTCACATCATTTAAAATAGTAATATCCTTTTTTGTCTTGCCCCAGTGAGTCTCTTGCTCTTCAGCAGGATAGTTTTTATATCAAGAGAATGACAGGCCGCAAAGTGCCCATTGGGACCTGACAAAATTAGTCGTTTGACCCATTTTTTGGACGCCACCTAAGATATTCAAGGAATCAGGGATTTTTTTTTTTAATATTCAGGTCTTGACTCTAATTTAATCACGGCCTTATGTCGCCGTCTCGAATGGAAGTTTGGTTTTAAAAGATTATGATTCCTTCGACGGAAAGGGAAGGCGCATCCAGATTTGATGTCCTGCGGCGTGAACACGTACTTTCATAATTATGTATGTAAGTGCCACGAAGGTTCATATTCCCTGCTTGTAGCCTTACTTCCATACCTGAGTTTATAGCTCACTCTCAGGTGGCTGCTAAAAAGTACCTGGCCACAAACTAAAATCTTGAGCAAAGACTTGGGACACTTTTGCATTTCTGGGGTGTTTTCCAATTCACTGCACAGACCCATCCCCTCCCCTCACCCCACAAACAAATGTTGGACGCATGTATCCAGAATTTTTCCCTAGTTTCAACTTTGTATAGGTTGGCGGAGGGAGGCGGGGAGAACTGTCAGAAAATTTCGAAATACTGCATTTCTGTCCCAAGGACTTTGGTCCATAATTGTCGGCTTTTTCAATGATTTATCCGATGGAATCGGACGAAAGCTTTTGCCCTTTTCTGATGTAATAATTGATATTTTTTTACAATTTTTCCTATTGCATATAGTATTTTGTGGCTCTCGACCAAGCGCTAGTAGTCTAATTGTTGGTGGTTCAGTTGCAAGAGTAAATAGCTGGCCGTGGCAGGTGATGTTGATTGGAACTTATGGCCAGTTGTTTTGCGGAGGATCGTTAGTAGATCCTTATTGGGTGGTGACCACAGCAAATTGTATTAGCGGAAAATCGCCGTCTTCCATCAAAGTAAAGTAAGTTATGCTTAAACTTTTTCAAAACCAGAAGCATAACCCCTTTCGGCTAACGTAATGTTGTACTCAATTCAAATCTCCCGGGGCTAAGACGTCAAATGACGCAAACAAAGACGCCAAACTTTAAAGAGTTATTCCCTCTAATATATAGATTTAGCCAAGGCTGAAAGCGAAGCGTCCATTTATATATATTTAACTACCTAAAAGTAAAAAGTGACTTTAAAACTTAAAGAGACAAATATAAATTAAAATCGATCACAGTATTAGTCTTGGAAAGAATTTTTACCCCTGCCGTTTGGACCCCAACCACCCAACTAAACCCCTTTGAGAAGCTCAAAGCCCGTGAATTTTTAATCGTTCATATAGGTTGTTTGTCGTTCACGAAAATCTTTGGCTACGTCCAGTGCACAGTCACGGTTTATTATAAGCTTAAGCTTTCTTTGCAAAATCGGACCGACAAAGCCTTACGAGTAATCTACCCTTTAGATTATACATCACAATATAGATCCGATACTCAGTAACTTTTACTGTACGTAAGTTATACTTTTTGTTTCTTCTGGCGAAAAGACCCATCTGTAAGAACATTTCCAGGCTGAAACTCCTCAGAAAATAAGAACAGTCCAGCCATAACTCGAAAAATGAACGTTCTTGTTTTATTTGTTTGTTTGTTTTTTAGTCCGCTTGTGAGGCTTGGCTTTTGAAATAGACGAACGCGCCTCGAAGGAAGGCTTTCGCTAATTATCTTAACTTTTTACATGAAAGATGTACCGGCAATCACAAGAACTGGGTATTCTCGACCTCAGTTCTTCACTACATATTATGAAATTAATATATTAAATGATTAAGTTCATAATAAGCTTTTTCCTAAAATACGCCTGACTTTACGACAAAACTCAAGGGGGGCAAAATTGTAATTGTCACTCACCTTGGATGTAGCTTCTAAAACCGAGTAAGTGAGGCCCCAAACGTTTCCTGTACTATGAGGCCTGCAAGTTCGACTTGAATCCCGTGGCGAAGTCTTCCTCAATCCAAACTAAATAAACAAACCAGCTTCGAATAACAGAAGAATCTTGATAGCAGCTGTATTTCATTTTGTGACGGCAGTGTAGGAATACGAATAGATAAAAGTGTGAAATGTTGAAAGACATTTCCTGTAGTCCGCAGAAAGAGCCTGCATGAACTGTCACAAACGCAGCCATCGATGAATCCCTTTTCGACACTTTCTTCGACGAAAACCTAAACATTAAACAATTCAAGAAAGAAATGGAAACTTGACAGCAGTTGTATTCCATTTTGTGGTGGTAAGAGAAGGACACGACAATTGCAAAAGTTAACTGAAATGAAAAATAGGCTTCAGTTGTCGGCAAGTCTGACGGCAAACAAATTTCCAGACGTTGCATAAGTGTTCATTCATTAATCAACCTGTCAAAAATGTGACCAAGCGGAGAGAGGGGAAGACTAGGTTGTCACTGGAGTGTGACCAAAAGCGTGATCAATGAAAAAGTAAAGCCTTAGAAATCTATTTTCGAACATTTTTGCGTAGGTCAAACACAAGAAACTTCAATTTAGATATCTACTCGACCAACTCTGTTGGCTACCCCTAAAATGGTTAATTTTGTGCCAAACGAAACGCAACATCAGTGTCTGGGACTCCCTTCCCTACCTTTCTAAGTGTTCTCAAGATGGAAACTTAGCCGATGTAGAAAAATCCTCTAGCTATTAAACGTTACAGAAAAATCGTTTCCAAGAAAAGCAAAGAAAAGCAAGGATTGCCCATTTTCATTTCGCGCCTAAGCATTGTCTCCCCACTACCTCCCCCAAGGTCCGTACTAACGTACGGGCGTCGGTGACGTCGTAACAAAAATTTCTGGCATCAACAGGTTACCAAATTCTCTTAGCACTGTAGCTTCGCTTTTATACAGACACCTCTATGATGCGGTCACCTAACTCCGTATTGAGGATGTTTGACTGTAGTCGTAGTTCTTGTGGTAATGGGAGATTGGGGTGGGTTGGTTGTTGAGTAGCCACATCATAGTGGTAAGTAAATTATTGAAGCCCATCATCTGCCTCCATGTACGTATTTACTAAGCCTTCATCACGCTATAAGCTTGACCGCAAATAACTGGCGAACTATAATCAAATTCTGTTTTGAACACTTTCCCACTGGCCATGCAATTACCTGTACATTCCATTGTGTTAATTTGGTTGCGACTGATCCATACAGTCATATTACCGCCACATTTTTGACATAATCGAGCTCTCTTTGTATTGTCCTAAGTTATAAGTGATTTCTATCCTGACAGCATGCAGCAGCAGCTCGCATTTTTGGCTGTGATTTGTGTTACTCTGCGTGCATTATTTACTGACTCTGGCTGCTTAAATCAATACACAACCGCGATCACATTGGTCCTGGAAAGGATAATCATTAAGTTAGTTCATAAATGGCTTTGCGCTTTTGGTATAATCGTCATCATTATCACATAATCGTCATCGTTGTAGTTTGTGATATAATTAGCAATTATTGAATTCGGCTTTGGTAGGATATGAAGAATTCTGCAAATGGAGGAGGGTGTTATCGGCTGAGGTGGATAACACCCTCCTCGATCTGCAGAATTCTTCATATCCTACCAAATCCGAATTCAATAATTATTTTATTATTCATTCTAAATAAGTCCAAGTTTAAAAACAAGCTAAATCCTGCGTACTTCGGTCGATGTTAAGTTGATATCGATAGCGTATCTTTATCAGCAAGTTTAGGAGATAAAGGTCTAATCTACTCTGAATATGAGATGTCGTCCGTCGAGGTTCTTCTTGCTGTTCTTTAGACAATATTTCGCCGTGAAACGAGTAAAATGTTTCGCCGACTTTTCAGCCATTTTGTTCTCAATATCAAAACAACGCAACCTCATCCCCAGGTTTTCTCGGTTACCGGTTCAATAATTTGCAACTTGGGCTGCACTTTTGACGTCATCGGTCCAATATGACAAAACTCTTTCCAATTTTGGTCAACAGGAGCTCTTTATGATGAATTATGCGTGTGCTTTTGGCCAATCAGAAATGGAGAAATATTTGGAATGAATAATAATTGCTATTATTCACTTTTGGGTAATATTAGTAATTTCAGGCTAAATATTTTTATACAACCCCATTACCGGGGTCTTGTCCTCATTGTCCCCCAGAGCGGAAAAGAGAGGACCGTGGGGCGAATAGGAGGGGAGGCTAGGAATGAGTTTGTATTGTTTGCCCTTCTGCCTTCTGTCGGACTAGTTAAATTAATTAACTAATTTTGCATTCATTTATTTATTCCTTCATTTATTTTTTTTCGTAGGTTGGGAGCCCACTACACAACAAGCGGTAGTGTTGGAACAGAACAGGAAATCGAGGTCGCACAAATCATCAAGCATGAAAACTATAATAACCCGTTGAGCTATAGCAATGACATCGCCCTGATTAAGCTCTTAAAACCTGCAAATCTTGGAGTAGGCATCGGGCTTGTCTGCCTCCCTGATATGCGCCACGCTCTTCCTTTTGACAATTTGAACAGAAAGTGCTGGATAACGGGCTGGGGTACATTGTCTTCAGGTGGGTCCCACAAAAATGCACTCATGGAAGCTCAGATTTCATTGGTCTCCAGGCGACGTTGTCTTTATTCCTACACTGGAAAAATTGATGATTCCATGTTCTGTGCTGGCCCGGATGCAGGAGGCGTTGACACTTGTGTAGGAGATAGTGGTGGCCCATTGGTGTGTGAGTTTAACGGTACATGGTTTCTTGAAGGTGTAACAAGTTGGGACTACAGTTGTGCGTATGCTTCAAAGTATGTGGTTTATGCTTACGTTAGAGATCTGAAAGCATGGATAACAAACCATATTTATCAAGCAGTGCTGCCTAGTGTCTCGCCACAAAATCTATCGGTGTCTACGTTAAGTGAGTATACGAAAATAGCTTTTATTACAGCTTGATTTAACCTTGGCCCCAGTTCCTGGAAAGACGATTAAACTATCTTCCGATTAGCGTCAAATCCACGATTAATTTTCTCATTCCTCGGATAACTAATCGTGGGTTAAAAAGGAGTCCCTGAAAGCGAAATAAACGCACGATTAACTAATCCGAGATTAGTGTTAAAATAAACCGGTTTAACTAGTTTTTGGGATGATTCCTTTTAAAAAATATGGCGCGAAAAATGTTAAGATACGGGTGAAGTAAAGGAAAATGGAGGAAAATGAAGTGGTCTAGGTTGAACCAAAAGAGAAGAAGAGGAAACCGAAATTCTTCATCTACCTAGAAATAGTTGGCCCAGTTTTTATTACATGGTCCTTACATTCAATCCGCAGTCCACAGTCCGCAGTCCATGTTTTATAATCACCAAATTTTATTTCATGAAGTAGTAACCACGTTGGCAACTGCTTATGTTTTCTCCTCGTCTGCCTTTCGAGCTCTTTCTTAAGGATTTCTACCAAATATTGAATTGACTCTCGGCCAAACCTGTATCTACTGCAAAGCTCTTCATCAGTGAATTGGTCTATATCAATTCTTGCTGTCGGAACTTTTTTTCAGGTATTTGTAAGTCCGCCATTTTGTTTGTTTTTACAAACGTTTTCCCCCGATTAGTGACTTAATCGACCTCGCTAAGTGGGTTAAAATTAACACTTAGTGTATTCCTAGATTAAGGTTAACGATCCTTTCAGGAACAGAATCTAATCGTGGGAAAAAATGTATCCCGCGATTAGCGAGATTTAATCCTCGATTAGCGCTAACCGGCTTTCCAGGAATCCAGGTCTGTCTCAGAAGAGACAAAGTTCTCTTACTTTTACCAGCTAGCCAACTTTTATCTACTGGTCTTCATTTACTGAGTCGAATTAAACATGCTTGTAGTACTTAAAAGCGTTCATTATTAAAAAAAAAAAATGTTAGTGCTACTGCTTTTATGAGCTCTTGCAATTTTTAAACACATGTAGCCTTTACCAGAAACTTGATGTCTGTAAGAAAATGTTGATTTGCGTATTATTCTTATTTATTTGTAACCAGCTTGGCAGGACTAGCTCAGCCATTGGGGCGCATGACTGCAGAGCGGTGGTTAGCGGGTTCGATTCCCGGGCTCGGATCAATACTCAGTCTCTTAAAATAACTGAGAAATAAATGTACTGCCTTTGCAGTGAAAACGGCTAGCCCTTCGCCCCTCAAAAAATAAATAAATAAAAATAAATAAAAAGTGTTTCCAATTCGTTCCTTTGTACTAAAGACATTAACTCTCGCGTAAAATGCATTTTTCATTTTTTTGTTTATTTGTTTTATGTGTTTAGTATGATGCTCATTTGACAGTGGATTATGCTCCGGATGAACCAATATTCTTCAGATGATTTTGATTGGACTCTTTCGTCTGATTCAACACCATCGGGCTCCATTTAAACTAGCCCTGCTAAATTTAGTGCTTCTCAATAAATTTTTATTTAAATAAACTAGGAGTAATCGGAGCTTAGGAGAGTGCGTTCGATATGTTTGTAAGGCGTACAGGTAGCAGTTGAGGAGAAAGGGTGGATGGTTATTGCGACAGATTAAGCCCGGTTTCCATATGATCGCTACGATCGCAGTGATCGCTGCTATCACTGAGAAACATGCGATTACATGGAAACCGCTCTCCAGCGATCACAGTGACAACGATCGCTTAGATAGAACTTTTTATATCTCAGCGATTGTTGTCGCTTCGATCGCTTTAGAGTGGTTTCATATGATCGCTATGATCGCTGCGATCGCTGAAGTTTTCTTTTTTTCTCAGCGATCGCAGCGATCACAGCGATGGTGGCGATCAAATGGAAACCGGGCTTTAATTTGATCATGGCATATTTTATACGTAAGGATTGCTTACAGCGAAACCTTTATTTAAAGTGTGTATCATTATGAAAAAGCCTTGAAGGCTGGTTATATCGTATCGTTCGTCTTAATAAGTGCAGTAATTTGGTCGAGTGTGTTAATTGCAGTGACTTGAGTGGAGCATTTCAGTGACTTGAGTGGAGCTACTGTGGGCTGATTATAAGTTTTTACGAATAAATAACGCAGACCTAAAATGTTCGTTTGTCCGGTGCCGAAAATATCACAAGTCATGGTGAAACGGTGCCGCCGAGCTTCACATCTCGGTAGACTTACTTTGTGGCACAACGGCCGCCGAGCTAGATTCACTTTGTGGCACAACGCCCGCCGAGCTACACAACTCGGTACATTTACTTTGTGGCACAACGGCCGCCGAAACGTTTGAAAGATGAACGTTTTGAAAGATTCAGCCAACACAGATCGATAGTAGACCTTCAGCAAACTCTTGAAATATGTACGCTTTACAAAGATTCAGCAAACTTTTAAATGATGAACGCTTTACGAAGACAGAATAAAAGACCTCATCAAACGCTTGAATGCGCACAAATGACCACGTGAGTTAGTTCGTCAAAGTGAGGCAAACGTAGGCAAGCGCCTCAAAGCGAGGCAAATGTGTGTCGACGACGACGACAAATGCAATCTCGAAAAAACCTCCCTTATTAACTGCACATGACACCCAATAACGCACATAGCACCCAACGTAAATTAGGGGTTGCGTTCTCGTACCTCGAACGCAGTGAAAAATAAATTTGTTAAATGGTCTTTACCACGAAGTTGGTGTTTGAAGGAAAAATAAAAATGTTTCTTTGTTTATTTTTTTTACGAGTTTAGTATGGTGCTCATTTGACAGTGGATTATGCTCTGGATGGAACCAATCTTATTCGGATGACTTTGATTGGACACTTTGGTCTGGTTCAACACCATCATCATCTACTGGACCGTCTTCTGATCAAGGGGGAGCAGGTTTGATTTAGTAAAATTGTTTTCTTTTATTCCCCAAAAGAGGGGAAGATTTGCACCTGTATGAAAATTCTATAAATTTACAATCTATAGACATTTCACTGTCGCTGTAAAAGGTCCAGTTTTTTCAGTGCATTCCATCTTTAATGTGGAAGAAATATAGCTTTAAGTAAATTAGTTGTCAAATCGCATGAAGAAGTTTCAGTCAAAGTTTGCTCTAAAAGAGAAAGGCACTTTTTGTTGACATTTCTGTTAAAACGAACAATAACTGACAAAAAGACAAAAACAAAACAAAAACAAAACATCAACAGCAAAATACATCACAAAGTTGCCCACTTGTCGTATTATTGCCCTTTATTGATTGTTTAAGTGGTATTTCCTTCTTCCTCTTCTCTTAAAGGAAAATATATGTACATTGAAACATCCTCCCCAAGAAGACCCGGCGACACAGCCAAGCTTGTTTTTACTGTTCCAAACAACGGAAAAATGTCATGTCTCTCATTTTATTATCACATGTATGGAGCTACGGTTGGGACTCTTAACGTCTACAGTGGAAACAGCAAAGTATTAAACATTTCCGGATATCAAAATTTCAAGTGGATTATGGTGAAGAGAAACATAATTCTGAATGGATTGGTGAGAAATAGAATTGTGCTAACTCGCACATCACCATCACCGTCATCATCATCATTATCATCATCATCACCGTCATCATCATCATTATCATCATCATCACCATCATCATCATTATCATCATCACCACCATTATCATCATTATCATCATCATCATCATTATCATCATCATCATCATCATCATCATCATCATCATCGTCATCATCATCATCACCATCATCATCATTATCATCATCATCACCATCATCAGTATTGACATTATCGTAAAAACCATCACCATTATCGACATCATCATCATCATTATCATCATTATCATCGTCATGAATAATTAATAGCTAGAAAAACTCTTTTTGACGGTTTACCACTCGACTATATATCGAATTTTTGCCAAGGCATGACACTTTTTAATTGTTAACCGGCGTAATACCTCACCTTAGATGGTGAAAGGTAAAGAGAAGTGTAGGCGTGGTTAATTAGGCCAATTAACATATAGTAAGTGTTAATACCGCTAACTACTGCTCAACATTCTTTGCAGGTAACATTCGAGGGGATAGCAGGGACTTCATTTACTGGCGATATCGCAATCGATAGTGTAGAAATAAACAGTGGAAGCTGTCTAGGTAAAAAAAAAAAATGTACATTTTTAGCCTGCGACCAGTTTCTTTTGTGCTTGGAAAATGACCTTTTCTTAGCGTAACTCGTCTTGCCAGTTACGCCATTCATCTGTACACAATGGAACGACTCTTCAAGTAAACGACCAATAATTTTTTTCCCCTACTTCTCTTGTAGTGTCCTGTAACTTTGATAATGGATTGTGCTTTGGGTGGAGCCAGTCGAGGGAAGATGTATTTGATTGGAAGCCCCAACGTAGCCGAAGGTATTTGTCGAGTACTGGACCACCCTCGGATCATACAAGTGGAAGAGGTTTGCTGGCTTTTGAAATTTATTCCGTGGCATTTGCTTACATTCATTTCACGAAAACATTTTAACAATTGGTTCATGCGTCAGCGTGCGTATGTCGAGATATTGAGCACTTGGGAAGTTTGGAGAGCACGAAAGATCCGTAAGAGTTGCTCGAGGTGCAGCAGAGAGCAACTCTAGCCTAAGACAACATTCAAAAAGATAGTAAAATGCATATAAAGGTGCCGGAAAACTATAAATTGTCCGAAAAATTCCTTTCGAGAGAAACAACTTTGCAAAAAATGATTTGAACACACCATAGTCCGCACAGCTCGTTCAAGAACAAGTAACAACAACACTCACCTCAGTTTCGTACTATTGGTCAACGAATTCAAACGTTTTTTCTTGAATTTATGTTCTAAAACACATGATAAACACTGTTGAGTTGTGGATGCACTAAGTAGACGTCTTGGGAGTATTGTGAAGCTCACAAGAAGTGAAAGAACTCGAGGTAAAGTTTATTGACATCATCAGCGTGCTCAATGGGAATATGTAGCAAGCTCGTGCTATTCAATTTGATTGGGCGAATATTCTAGCTATGTTATAAACAAGTATAAAAAGCAACCCTCTGTTTAGCATGAGAATATTGCCGAGAAGGCTGAAGCCGATTCGCTCCATATAAGACAAGCCGAGTTCTGCATGGAATCCGGGAAACTTTTGTTTGTGGAATCCGGAATCCTTGGCTTTGGAATCTGGAATACTGGTCAAAGAATCTGGAATCCCACTAAAGATAGGAATTCAGATCTTGCTCGATTTTATTGCAAAATTTCAACCCGGGGGGGAGGGGGGGGGAAGCTACTTCCCATACATTCTCTTAAATGAAATCCAGACGATGTTCTCACAACTTGCCAAGCGATCAGCAAGGGTCATGCCAGCGGATTTGTGTACTGATCATGCGCATTACGTCAAAAACCCTAGATCAACGGTCTTGAGAAAAAACAAAAACATGGTAGTCGAAGGCGGGACTGTTTCTCACTGTTATATTTTCGTAATTCGCAAATTTATTGATTTTATGTCGCTTTTCAGACATAGTGTGTGGTTTTCTTTTTCTGTTAAACAATTTCCCTTTCCAGAGTTTGGAATATGCAACATATAGCTCCGTATAGCTGTTAAGAACCGCCGAAGAGTTGAGCTATCGAACAGTGTTTTGCTACAAACCTTAGGAAAGTTAAAGTCGGTTCAAGGTACAGAGCTTTCAGTAGTAAATGTGATTTGTTTTAGAATCGTTTTCAATTTTAACTTTGGATTCAAGGTGTTTACTGATCGAAATAAACGAAGTGAAATGTTATGAAGTGTTAGTTTTTATTCAGTTATGATCTGTAGAGCAGTAAGCTCATTTTTATAAAGCTCTCTTGAATATACCTGCTTCCGACAAATTTGACACTTGCGCCAGTAATTTTTATCAGTATCAAGTTATCCTTGCCCGGCAAAAACGATGTAACCTATAAATAAATCCATCGAGCGCGTTGTTGTTGGCTAAGATCTAGCACGGTTGCGTTTTAGTTTCCCCTGCATTTCAGTACCGAAAGACAAATACGATATGCAAGAAAAACAAAGATCCATGATATGTTTTTTTTCAATTTTTTAAGCATTTCTGATTTCCTCTGTTGGTTCGCTTCTTGCTTCTAAAAAGTCTAAAAATATTTACTGTGGGAAAATTACTGTAATTATCCGCTGACCACCACGCTGGGTGACCGCTTTGCAAGTTGTGAGATCATCGTTTCTCGGTCCCAGACCTTGTCTCTTCACCCCCCTGATTTCAAAAATTGCTTGCTTGCTCATGCTCACAAAATTTTTGCAATTGCTCGCATGCTCGCGTTCTTGTCAGTATTGCTCGAAATTTTGTAAATCCTGGCTTCTTTGTTTCGAAATAAATGTGATTCTGCATTGCACTTAAGTCATGTTAAAGTTCTATAAACAATTAATGCGGTTATTAAGTTCAGTGGAAATGCACGAGATAAAGTTTAAGCTAAAACGCCGTTCACTATTTTCTGTTTAAATATTTTAAAGGGACTGATTTCCATATGGACTGGTTCAGGTGAAAATATAAAAAGTGCTCGCTCTTCGCGAGTTGTACTTTCTAAAATACTCGTTGCTCGCAAGGCCAATGTTTATTGTTCGAAAAGACCATTAGTTATCCCTATTAAGGAAAGTTTAACTTTCCCGTACGCTCTTCATGGACGTGCTTCTTTGGCACTGGTAGTGCTAACCTAAATTTTTTCTGAGCAGAAACGTACAGGAGAAAGAAGCGATAAACGTTTCAATAGCCAGCTTTGAATGATTCTGTCTTAATACAGTCCCTTAAGACCCCAGTTATGTTTTGACCCTTTCACTGCCAAAGTTAGCCAAAAGGAACATTTGACCAAATGTTCAAATTTCATTTTGTGAAATTTTGAAAAACAAATAGCACCATGTGTAAGTACAGGTAGAGACCTTTCATTTGAATGGTCACATCATAGGATTTCGTCCACAGACTTACAAGTTAGAGTTACCTTACAAAACTCTATCAAGCACTCTGGCAGTGAAAGGGTTAATGAAGGCTATCGTTATTGATGTTAGGGAGCTTAAGCAACAACGACGGCGACGGCTACAAAAACTTCACTAAAAATGTGAAGTCGCGCTTCCTCAAACTTTATCGCGCTTTCGCTCTCTCGTTTAATTCGTCAAACGTCGCCTTTTTTTCTGCAGTTGAATTCTAAAAGACTGTATCAAAGTTCAGGAGAAGAAAAGCAAGGTCGTTGTCAAGTCAAGTCAAGTCAATCTTTATTTAAACACGGTAAAATCCATCAGGAATTTAAAAAATTAAAAATAACCTAACTATCCTAAACAAAATTCAAAACCTGACTACAACTAATCTAACTAAAACCTGTTTTTCATGAATGCCGTGTATAACATTAAAAATGAACATTAACTAATCTTTTAAATTGACTAAGAGATTCGGCTTCTCTCACATGACAGGGTAGGCTGTTCCAGAGAACTGCTCCGCTATAAGTAAAGCTGTTTTTCATGAAATTAGTTCGCGGAAATGGGACAAATAGTTTGTTAACAGAGTCCCTCAGGGAGTAACGCGTTTCATTTCGTTTAACAAACTTAGATGATAAATATTCAGGAACAAGGCCATTTAAAGACTTGTATACCATTATGGATTTCTGTATTTGAAATTGAGTGCTCAAGTCTTTCCAATCGAGTTGTCTAATCAGACGGTTAGCATCAGCATCATAGCTAGAGAAGGTTAAAACGCGAGCGGCACGGTTCTGAAGCTTCTGTAGCCTGTCAAATAATGTTTTACCACAATTACCCCAGACAAGATTGCAATAATCGAAATGAGATTGAATTAGTGAGTTGTATATATAGTGAAGGGTAGGTGGAGGGACAAAAGGTCTAATTCTTTTTATTGCTCCAATTCCGGAAGCGACCTTTTTAGATAATTTATCAATGTGTGTTTGCCACCGTAGATTTTCATCAATAAATATTCCAAGCGATTTGACAGAGGAAACGTGTTCTATCGGAACATTATTAATCGAGAGCTCAAGTGGGTTCGACAAAGTACTCAATTTTTGTCTGGAGCCAATTAGCATGAATTCAGTTTTAGAAGTGTTCAAAGTAAGTTTATTGGAAATAAGCCATTTGTTTAGGTTATCTAAATCGTGACTCAGAGTTAACTGTATTGAATTCACATCAACGCCAGCATAAGTAATGTGGGTGTCATCGGCATACATTCTAGGCTGGCACGAAGTAAGGCAGTTAGGCAAGTCATTAATATAAATAAGAAATAAAAGGGGGCCAAGGATTGTTCCTTGCGGTACCCCACATTTAAGAGAGCAGATTCTAGAAAGAGAACCGTTAACAAGACATCGTTGTGTACGATTAGTTAAATACGACCTAAACCAATCAAGAGCTGTACCTTGTATTCCGTAAAGGTTCATTTTAGCTAGAAGGATATCGTGGTCAACGGTGTCGAAAGCCTTTTTTAAATCGAGGAAAACCACAGCATTAACATTGCCACGATCAATATTAAAGGCCCAATTATCCGTAGCTTCCAGAAGGGCAGTTGCAGTTGAGTGTAACGAGCGAAAACCCGATTGATGATTAGAAATGATATCTTCATTGGTCAAAAAGTTATACAACTGATCATAAACAATCCTTTCAAACACTTTAGCTATAACGGAAATGACAGAAATAGGTCGATAATTATTCAGATCAGATGGCTCACCTTCCTTGAACAACGGAGTAACTCTAGCACATTTCCAATCATCAGGAAATATACCAGAGACTAAAGATTTATTAAAGAGATCACATAGTGAAACTGAAATAAGATCAGCACATTCACGTACAATTTTAGCAGAAATATTATCAAGACCAGTTGCTTTAGATCTACATAATTTGTTTAGATGTGAGAAAACAATGCTGCAGTTAGTCGAGGAGAAGCTGAAATTGTTGTTATTTACCTTTATATTATTGATATAACTTGAATTATTTTCAGCAGTTAGAGGTATTTCATTAGCAAGTCTGGGCCCAATTGTTGAAAAATGGTCATTAAAAGCATCAGAAAGCTCACTAGAATTAGAGATAATGGTATCATTCAATTTCAGTTCTTTCACCGTTGTATTATTCACACGACGGGATGTAAGCTCATTAAAGGTTTGCCACGTTTTT